TTTAACTTCAACGCCATCATTAATGCTGAAACAGTAACAGTTGCATTTATTTGTTAATCTTATTATTATTATTATTATTATTATATAAAAATGTCTATACCTTTTGCGTAATCGTGTTTGTCAAGTGTTTCTCTCACAGTATCCGGTGTAATTCCAAGCTCCAATTGAAATGGATCAAACATTAATCCAATATCCAAAGAATATATTAACAATCCTGCCGTTGTTGCTGCTGCCCATGCTTGTCCTATTTTACAACATATTTAAATATATTTACTTCAAACAAAATAATTTTAAAAAATTATTCATTTCTACCTGTGGGAGAGAATTGTAAACAAAGTACTCTCACTTCCAGTTTGACTCTCCTGCTTGCCATATCTCCACTTCTAACACCTGGCAAACGTAACGATACGTTTCCACCTTCGCGATGCTCAATTAAAGCTTTGTTTCCAAATTCAGACATGTACTTCCTGTTTATAACATCCTGCCAAAATAGGAATTAAGAATAGATTTTTGTTTTGCAACTGCTTCTGTATTTATATTTAATATATAATAAAAGAAAAAAATTTTAAACATTTTATACGATATGTATTATTACTTACATCCACACCATCCAGAGATCTATTCTGAGTGATTTCATACTTTTTTAACAATATCGATTCTTTAACATTATAAATGCACACATTTTTGGAACGTCCACCAGCTAGTATACACGTGCCGTCAGCCGAATAACATAATGTAGTAAAAGCTCTAAAAAATAGGATTTAATAATGCATCGTTAAAACAAATAAGATTTACTAGATAGTGTTTCTCGCACTACTCACTTGGATTGTAAATTCTTTTTCGCCGTGATGAGATCTGTTTTAGATCTACCAGCACCTAAATCGGTTCTGCCCTCAATAAAGCCTGTCTGTCTTGCCGTTTTACATTCAAAAAATATTATCTGTCCATCCAACGTAGCAACAGCAACTTCTTCTCCATTTGGTTTGTAAGTTACGCATAAAGCATCAGCGGTTAATCGTACAGTCTCGTGTGCAGAGCCATTTTCAATAGCATTCCATATTTTCAATGTTTTATCCCAAGATGCAGATACTAATTCTGTACTGGCGGGATTGGGATTAAATGCCAAGCTTGCAATAGGTCCCTCATGACCACTCAATATCTGAAATCGGATATTTTAAGCATATTATTTTGGTTGCATACTTATAGATATATGTCTATTATATAATTTAAACTACACAATTGTAAAAATTGGAACAATACAAATCAATGTCAGATGAGTAAAGTTATACACACTTCTAAAAGAGTCCCGAGTTTCATACTCCATAGATACACATCAAAGAAATCTTGACCACCCGCAGCGATAAACTCGTCGCTTGCATCGATCGCTAAGCAAGAAAATTGTACAGGACGTGGCGAGGTAAGAGTACGAAAATTTCTGTATCTCGCTAAATCGTATGCTCGCACCGTTCCATCCAACGAAGCGGACGCAACGAATTTACGATTGTGACTAAAGAGAACATTGGATATCGATGAGGTATGCTCGTGAAACGTAAGCGTACAAAATCCGGTTAATGTATTCCATAGTTTAACTTTTCCGTCGTCGCCACCTGTTATAATATATTGACCATCAGGACTATATGCCAGACAGTTCATATTAGTTCTATGCCCTTGCTGTTTCATGGCATATGTTTCACTTTGCCATTCCCAAACTAGGAGCTGCCCAGCATGAGAGCATCCTATAGCTATCCAATCTCCAGTAGAATTCAATGCAATCGATGAAATACGCTGTCGAGAAATACTGTAAAGTCATATAGTAATTTAGTTAATCTCTAATATCACATATAATTAATATAATATTAAAAGCTAAAAAATATTAAATCATATTATTTTATAATTAAAATATTATTGTACCTTAATGAATGGATCAAATTAGCGTGCGGCATTTCATATAAGAAAAATGAACCATTACTAAATCCAATAACTAATATATGAGTATCTTGGTGATAAGCAGCTGTAGTAAGTTTTGCATCTTTACTTTGCTTATGAACTTCGTCTGCCAAATAGAAAGTAGCTTGCTTTTTATAGCCCAACATTTTGATTTTTTTGTCTTTCTCTTTTATAGAAACTTCTTCTATATCATTTTGTGGCAAATCGTCTAGTAAAATGTGCACATATTTTTACAAATTACTATTATACATGTAATACGCTATTATATATACAATACAGTAAAAACTATTATTTTTAATCAACTACATTCTAGTCAGTTTTACAATTATTTATAAACAATATTAAATTCAGGAATTTCATAGAATAAAATTTAATAAAAAAATTATAAAGAAATTTTCTCACTCGAGTCTAATAATTTCTTTTCAGCATAGGCCTTTTGCTTTTCAGTTTTCTCTATAATTTTGCCTATATCTATGTCATCCTCGCTATCACTATCTTTAGGCTTTTCTTTTTTTGAAGGCGGTTCCCATTCAACCAAATCGTCTGGTTCAAGTGTACATTCCCAGACACACACTCGACCATTTCTGTAAAAGAAATTTTCCGAAAATAAATAAGCGAATTCAAGTTGTGTAGGATATTATTGTGTGTACAAAATTTCTTGTTAGCAAAAATAATTATACAATAAATTTAAACTAATACAATGTAAATATTAAATTATGTCACTTACTTGCTAATAGTGTACATATCATATTGTTTTGCTTCAAAGAAACATGCCACAATTACATCAGAATGACCACCTAATGTAATCCATCTAAAGTTTGCCCATTTTTGTAAACTGTATATCTTTACAGTAGTATCCTTTGAACCAACCGCTAATAGTTTTGAGTCAAAAGACCAATTAACGCACGTTGTCTCAGCAGTAGCTCCATGAAACGCATGTTCCATAATAAATGGATTGTAATCCCCTGTTTGTAAACCAGGTGCATTGAAAATGAATACTAAAATACAAAAGCAATATATATATTATTTTACATATATGTTATATTTTAATACATTTTTATAAGTTTAAAATAGCAAATACTTACCACCGCCTCCTTTACAAACTGCAAAATGTTTTCCATCTGGAGAAAACTTTACACGCTTAGGACGTCCTTTAAATCTGTATTTATGTAAAATTACTTTGCTTATTAAACTAATAATATGAGCTTCGCCATCTGTAAGTATATTATAAAACTGTAATTTCTCCTATAAATACTCCTTCATAAATAGTATTAAATAATTTTTAGTAATGTGTACAAAAAGAAGTCTTCTTACCTGTGTTAATCGCTACTAATATATTTCCATTTGGTGATACATCAATTGTAGTATAATTAAATCTGCTCTCAACAGGAAGTGTCATAGATTTATTACTAAAAAGAATCATTTTATACAATATTTTGTAATAATTATTATCATATAAAATTTATAAGTTTTTTTAAAGTTGCATGATTTACAGTAAAATTAATATTTTTATAATTACATACTTTTTTAAATCAAAAATTGTAATTCGGTTGCCCACAGGGCTAATAACTGACGATCCATCTGGAGTAAAGTGTAAATCCCCTTTACGATAAACTGTGCCAAGTAAATTACTGAACTGTAACAAAAATGGAAAGCATATTTCACTATAATTTATAAACATATACTTCATATATACATATACACATTAACATGAAGCTTTTATACATGTTTAAAAATTACCATATATTATATTATTTGTCTTTATAATTATCAGTAAGTAGACTAATAAAAGATATTATAACTAAATATACAATTAAAAATCTTATTAATCGCAAATAAAAGAGAACATAAATATCAAAACATTATAGGTTAAAAATATTGTGTGTATGTAATAATTTTAAGTAATAAAGAACACAATTTACAAAAAATAGAACTCATAAATTGCAGTTTTTCTAAAACAATAAATATCTTACTTTATATGAAAACTTCATCTTTCCTTTACTAATATTAAAAAAATATCTGTTCAATCCACGTGCAAATACATCACATTGATCATATAAGGCTACATTTTCATGTTGACGCTCGACGCTTGATTCGAGCATCAAAACAGATCACGTGATCAAAATTGACGAATACCAAGCATCAATTTTGATCACGTGATCTGTTTTGACGCTGAAAATAAGCGTCG